ACTTGAAAGGCTTATTGCCTTGATAAGAGTTTGTGGAACTAAAAATGTTGCTTTTTATGGAAATCCTAAGAAACTCTTCATGCCAAGAAAAGGTGATTTCCTGAAATTGGTTGAACATTAGACCATTTTTCATTCCATCTTGAAAGAATTACCACAACAAGAAACTCCTAAACACTATCTGAGAAATGACTTCCAGAATGAGCCGATTAAGTTACTGCCCAATAAGATCCAAACTTGTATGTTGAATGCTGCTAGAAATTCAAAATACTACTCAATGGTGCTTGACTGTACTTTAGACATAACCTACACAGAACAATGATGATTTTGTTTGTCATAGTTACTGGCATCTACAACCAAAGGTGGTATATGCTCAGTACCAACAAGCATTTTGTCAGATTTTTTTTACAGTAGATACAATTTTGAACAAAGCTATTGTGAACAATTTGTAGAAAATGCTGCTGTTCCTGGAAAACTTACAAAGTTAAGATATGACAATGAAAGAAAATAATTAGGGAGTTAAAATCAAGAGTTGTTTTAACACACACACACACTGAAATACTATGTTGAATGATACAATCAACTGTTGCAGTGAATAGTGATATTCTTCAACTTGATTCAAATCATATATATTCCTTTTTCTTTAACTTATGTTGGCTACAAAACGTTTCTCCCACTGAGTGATAAGCAATGGGAAGTAGGATTCTTGCTGTTCATGCACTCCTTCCAGCTGTATTAGGTATCGACGTCTGTGATAGTCATCTTCATTGCATAAGACAAAATTCCCACAGAAACCTATGAAGCAAAGTTTCATTTAAAGCAATAGCAATCTTTACCAAGATGTTATGTTTCAAATTTATGACATGGCTTGCTGTATGGGGTCAACTCTGCCAGAAAGCAGCTGCAAGAAAATGAGCTTCACACATCTTAAGCTATGCAGTAAGTACAAAAAAACAACAACATTCATCCCAAAAGAACTAACAAAGGCTTTTCAAAGGCATAAGGTGGATGTAAGAAGAAATAAAAATCACTGGTGAATATTTATTGACACATTTATGAATTAATGAAAGAAAGATTTCAGCAAGTACAGTAACACAGTTCATTGTTCAATTTTATGTACATCACTGTTGACTTATTAATGGATTTGTTGAAACACCGAGTGGTTTTCCAAACTGGATTATTAAAACTGTGTAATGAGTTATCATGGTGTACAGTGTTCTATGGCAGCAAAGCCTATCTATTGATTGGCAGTTTTGTGTGACATCACAACAAAAATGATAATTTTTTTTTTTATATTATTATTATTATTATTATTATAAGTCTTTACTGGGTCTATATTTTCAGTCTTATAGTGATTCAATGTGACACAAAACTATTGATTAATAGATCACACTTCACTGGCATAGAGAATTATAAAATATGATAATTTATTTTTGTTACTCAAATAAATACTTTTTGATTGGGGCTTTGTGTGTTGCATTCCTAGCTGACCCAATGAAGTCTTGTATTGAACAAAAGGTTTCAGAGTTAGTGTGGTAGGTGGTGCATGAGGTATGCCATCAAGACACTATTGTGTTTCTTCTTACTGGAAATCCATAATAATAATTATCAGATATATTTTATGTAATGGATTGCAGTCACTTTCATGAAAACTGAATGACTCCCATATGTGTACTGGAATAAATGTGCTAGAACAAGTAAGCATTGTCACTTTCCAACACCTTTATCAAATTGAGATTTCTGATAGCTTTGATCCTCATCACTGCTAGTGGAAAAAGAAGCTTTTCCAAACTTAAGTTGGTTAAAGCTATCCGAGATCAACCATGACATAAAAAACTGGTTGGACTGACAACAGTTCTTCTTTCTTCTTCTTCTTTTTTTTTTTTTTTTTTTTTTTTTTTTTTT